CTCCTGAGGGGTCCCAGACTGCGAGAGGGCACAGGCGAGGCTGAGTGACCCCCACTTCCCCCCGAGTGCACAAATTTTTGTGTACCGGGCCTCTAGTTTATAATAAAAGCAGTAGTTTAACAATTCCAAATTCCACTTCTACTCTAATTTTCCTGTCACTGGTTAACAGAGGATGTGTGTCCCATTTTACTACATGAAGCTAGCACTACTTAATGCTGACAGCATGACTACTGACCAGTGCGTAACTCAAATACTGGGCAAAGAAGTCCTGGCTCGACATATCCATGGGATATGGTCCATAAGAACAAGTGAGGTTCCCCCCTCATTTTGACAACATACAAAGAATCCTTCATGTTTTGAGCAGGTCAGCTGCACAAATGACTAAGTATGTGGCTTTCACATTCTTAGCATCCCACAAACTTCAAACTCATTTTCAAAACTATGCTTGATTCAATGGAAGCCTTCAGCTCAACTTGCCAATCTGTCCTGTGAATAATGCAGTTACACAATGGTACTGGTTGTCATATTGTATATATTAGCCCTTGCCACTTACTGTTGGCTTTAAGCACTAAGAACAGCCTATGTTTGCTGCCACAGGAAACAGAACAATCTATGTATATAAAAGCCTAAGCGACTGTCCAACTGGTAGCTATGACACACAATGACCACCATGGGGCAGATGCTCCAACCGGTAGCCATGACGCTCTCTGATCACCAGGGGGCAGATGGTCAACGCAGGAGCTGCAGAGCTGCGGTGAATTGGCAGCTGTGGTTCTTGGGTGACACACTCGGAACCAGAGCGGAAGGAGTCCTCACAATCCGGGACCCCTTGGGGGATGTCAGAGAGCCGGTTTTGGCTCGATCCCCGCAGGCCAGGCGAGGGACTCCAATGGTGCACAAATCCGTGCACCGGGCCTCTAACTAAGGTATAAAACACTAATAATGCGTCAAAATATTCTGTCAAAAAAGAGGGGAAAGGGAATGTGACTTTAATTTAAAAAAAATACAAAAGTATAAATGGCAACCAAACATTTAATTTAGGGGGCGGGGGGGGGAATGCTATAAAATTTTAAGAGATCTCTTACCAGCCTCTTACAACTCTTATCAGTACCCCATTTGGAAAGGTCCATGATGTAGCATCGAGAATACTACAGTAGACCTCTTGTTTATAATTACTTCCGTGGAGATCATAGATAACCATCTGCAACATATAGAAAACAGGCACAATAAGTAACTTTAAAAATGCATTTAAAATGGTAAAAAGTCCTAGAATCTAGAAAATATCCTGAGTATATAAAGTAGACATGACTTTAGATGTTAAATCCTTAAGTAAAATAATCCTTTTCTAAGTCGGCTCAAAGTCTTTCCTTGAAACTCCTTAAGCCTAATAGTAACTGTATTTTTCATATTATATATGAGTCTATGTAAGAATCTCATGCTGCCCAGCTGGCATGGCTCAGTGGTTGAGCATTGACCTATGAACTGGTCAAGGCATAAGCCCGGGTTGCTGGCTTGATCCCCAGTGTGGGGCGTGCAGGAGGCAGCTGATCAATGATTCTCTCTCATCACCGATGTTTCTCTCTCTCCCTCCCACTCACTTCCTCTCTAAAATCAATAAAAAATAAAAAAATAAAAAGAAAGAAAAAAACTTATGCTTACCTTTCCAGGTCTTGGGTTACACCTCAGAGATTGTATGTCAACATTCTGAAATAATAAACGTGGAAGAAGTAAGCCTTGAGAAACATCAGTGGAAAGATACATCGTTCACTTTCTCAGCCATGACAAATCAAATTTCTCACATTTACTCGGTGACATAATGTGCGAGGTGTACCTCTAGGTGTTACAAAGAAGTAAAGGTAAAAACAGAGGAAAATGTGTTGTCTCCGCCCTCAGGAAGCTTATGGCTTGGAAGGGAGAAATAGTTGACTGCACTCTCATGACTCTTCTAAGGGGTGGGGGGCTAAGTTAAACCCACAGGTAAAATACCAGGTTGTGAAAGAAAATGCCAGGTTATGAAAGTTAAGGCAAATGGCACCAGCGTGGAGTGGGGTGAAGGAGAAGATTTGGAAGAGGCTTGTCTGAGGAAGTGGGATGGAGAAGACCTGGAAAAACAGAATTTCAATAAGTGAAAAAATATGGCCGTAGAAAAAAAGTCCAGGAAGAGAACCCGAGAAGAAGGATGTTGGCAGGAAACACAGGGTGTGAACCAGAGCATGAGGCAAGGCTGTACAATAGAACTTGGGGGCCTTGTAATAGAGAGTGAGGAGGTTCCACTTGATTTGGTAGCCAACAGGGAGGCATTAAAAAAACACTTATTTAAATCATTTTTTAAAAATGACTTTGCCTTGCAAACTGTTGGTTGGTATTCAAGTATTACTATTTGCTCCTAAGGCTATTCCATGTAAAGGTACAGGCTCTGGAACCTAGAAAAAGTTTCATAGTCTTGAGAATGCCAGAGAGGAAAGTCCCATGTTCAATGAATATTCTACATTAGCCATTTAAATATTTCCAAGTCAAAGAAAAGTGTAACTGAATTTCAAAAAATTTTCCAACTATAATGCTATCAGCTCTTTTTCTTGGAATTAGGCTGTTCATTGCCCTGCTTTGAATGAACAACAACATGAGCAACTAAAGTAAGAGGAGGCTGTTAAGCAAACAGTTAAAATATTTTTAAGTATTTAAAATATTTCCAACTACTATGAAATATTTTCATGAGATACATAAGCTCAACAAAATGTATCAATTTTTAAAAATATATATTTTTATTGATTTCAGAGAGGAAGGGAATGGGGGAGAGAGCTAGAAACATCAATGATGAGAGAGAATCATTGATCGGCTGCCTCTTGCACACCCCACACTGGAATGGAGCCCAAACCTGACTGGGAATGGAACTATGACCTCCTGTGGCTTAATCACTGAGCCACACTGGCTGGGCAAAAGTATCAATTTTTCCTCACATATAGTCAGAGAAATTCAGAATCTTGTAACTTAATTTAGTTTAAAAACCAATGATAGTACTGACTGGTGTGGCTCAGTTGGATAGAACGTCGTCCCATGCACCAAAGGGTCATGTGTCTGATTCCTAGTCAGGGCACATACTTTGGTTGTGGGTTCAATCCCTGGTCGGGGTGCAGGTTGGAGGTAGCCTATCGATGTTCCTCTCTCACACTGATGTTTCTCTTCTCTCTCCCCTCTCCTTTTTCCTCCCCCTTTCTCTCTCTCTAAAAAAATCAATAATTAAATAAAACCACACATATCCTCTAGTGAGGATTTAAAAAACAACAACAACTGCCCTTGCTGGTGGGGGCACATGCCCGGATTGTGGGTTTGATCCCCCATAGGGGGCATGTAGGAGGCAGCCTATCAATGTTCCACTTTCACATAGATGTTTCTCTCTCCCTCACTTCCTCTCTCTCTAAAAATCAATTAAAAATTAAAAACAAAACTAAATATAGCAAAGAACTGGAAAATAACTTGCTTCTCTGTCTTTAAATTTTGAGCTAAATTTTTTCTCTCAATGCAACAACTTAGCTAAAAACACATAACTTATGCTACCGTTCAACCAAAGAATAAATTAACCTCTGATAATTTTAAAAACAATCTTTACACATCAAAACACTGATTTTTCTTAAATTTCTAGGTCGTTTAATGACCCAAGCACTACTTCACTTAAGCACTAGTTAATAATCAAAATGACTTACCTCCATGAATGGGCTTAATCTGCCTGAGTTGTCTTGAGCACGGAAATATTTTGAAGCTGGTTCCTGCAAAGTCCCACCAAATCGGGCTCCTTTTTCTGAGGAGTGGGTTTTGGAAGTCTGCAAATACTGATGATAAGCACTCTTTACAGAAGAATGTAGTTTAGAGGTAAGGTCAGACTTTTGTAGAAATGGGGCCTTTTCTGGCCACAGCCCAATTTGCAGATTGGGGGTTGTAGGTTCCTTTGCCTTCACAGATGAATTCTTAGAAATTCCAGTCCTTTCCTGGTCATCATCAGAGTCAAACGTGATGGAAGGATCTGACCACTTGAAGGCAACAGATTCCCTCCTGCTAGCTCTGACACTTCCCTTATGCAATGACTCTTCTTCCTCTTCCTCTAACTCCTGCCTCTCCTCTTCATCAAAATTCATCTTTAAGCGCTCTGACACTGACTGGAGAAGGGATAAGACAGAAGAGGGCTGGTTGGCATTATCCCTAGATTTTGTGGAGCCATGATGACCAGGTGAGACCTCGTGGGATAGAATGTCCTCCTGAGAGCTGTCATCCTCATAGATGGGAGACAAAGCTAAGGGATAAATTTTGTACCTTTTGGCTTCCACTGATAAGAACATTTCTGAGCTATCACTATCAATGTTCTCACCTAATTTAGTACCTCTTTCAAAATGATGGACCAGGTCAGTTCTACTCTCGGATCTTTCACATGTGACAACAGGTATGCTGCCAGGGGGTGCATCAGGAAACGAGGGACAGGTTCTCCTCACTTCAGCAGTTTTTGGAGCACACTTGTCTTCACCTTGAAGGGGTTCTTCATACAATATAGTGAAGGAAGGGTTTTCCTGTTCAGCCTGAGAAATGAAGGCTAAGTTAGAGTCTTCTTTTTTATCGCAACCATCTCCTAGATTTCTTGTTTTGTTATCTACTGCAGTAACAGCTGTTATTCTGTCTAGCCTTTCTATAGTATCCGCAGGTTGAAAATCTGGCATTGCTAAGGCAGGGTAGCCTTCAAAGTCCTTACTTAACGTAGGCGGTTCATATCCCCGGAAATAGGAAGCAAGTCGGTTGTCACGCACTATCAAGCCTTCCTTAACTTCAGCGGGCTCTTCCTCCATTTCTCCAATACTCTCTTCAACATAATCTGGGGGTGCTTTTTCAGGTTCAGATATGGGAGGCATGGCCTCTGCTTGTGTAACGGGCAATTCCTGACCTGTCCCATATGTTTTTCCTACATCTACCACTGCAGGTAACACTTGGTGTTTCCTGACAGTCCCATCAGAATCTTCTGGGGCTGTTCTCTCCATCTCTATCATAGAGGGCATGGACACAATCGTTCTAACTGTCTCTTTAGCATCCCTCTTGCATGCTCTTCCCATTTCTGGAGAGGCAGGGGCTGCCTTTTTGGGTATTTTTTTCACTTCCAATGCAAAAGGCACCTTTTCAGTTTTCCTAGTAACTCCTTCAGCATCCATTTGGTAACTGTTTTCCATTCCCAACACAGGCCTTTCGGTCTTCTCGGCAACCCCCTCGGAATCTTCATGGTAGATGTTTACCACTTCAAACACAATGGGCGTCACCTCAGTTTTGTCCATATCTCCCTCAGCATCCTTTTGGTAAATATCTTCTATTTCTGATGCAGAAGGCATCACTTCCGACTTTTCAGTAAGCCCCTCAGCATCTTTTTGGTAGATATTTTCTATTTCTGACACAACTGATGTCACCCCGGTCTTGCCAACATCACCTTCAGCATGCTTTTGGCAAATATTTTCCATTCCCAGTTTAACAGACATCACTTCGGTCTTTCCAGTAATTCCCTCGGCATCTTTTTGACAGATATTTTTTACTCCTGACATAACAGGCATCACGTCAGTTTTGCCAACATCACTTTCAGTATCTCCCATCTTACATGCCTTTTCCATTCCTAAAAGGGCAGGTATTCCCTCAGTTTTTTCATGATACCCCTCAGCATCCATTTGGTGTACTTCTTGCATTTTAAAACTGTCAGCCGTGGGCTCAGTTTCTGTCTCATTCAATTCATCATCCCTTTTATGTGTTCCTCCCATTTCTGACATAAGGGGGACTGCCTCATTTTTCATAACACTATACTCAGCATTCTTTTGGTTTGTTTTTCCTATTTCTAACATGGAAGGGATAAGCTCAGTGTTTCCTATATTTCCTTCAGCATCCTTTTTGTGCACTTGCCCTACTGCTGACATTGCAAGGGGTATGCTCTTATTACTGTGTGCTGGCAAGCCTTTCTCAGGCATACACACAAGACTATCAGACAAGCTGCTTCTGGATGTCCCAGGTAAACGGATGTCATCATTTGCGCACGGAGGCCATTGGACATTTAATACAAGAGTTCCAGTATCCTCTGTCCCAGTTTTTTGATTATTCACACATTCTATTTCCATTTTCTCTTTAGAGTCCTCTTTGAGAAGTACATGTGTTTCTACCCTATCATCTGACCCTTTATGGGGCAAGTCTTCAGCTAGTAAAACAGTATCTGATTCCTGCAAGTTTATACCATCAGACTGTCCAGCTCCGTTTCCTTTCTTTGACTCTGTGTTACTTACAGAGAAGAATCTACCTAATACTTTATTTTCACTAATTTCACATGTGCTTTGATTCACTACTTGTTTTGATACCACCAACTCCCTTACAGGAGGCTTAACACTATCACTGTTCAGAATTGTTGGAGTATTAGCCTGAAGTTCAGAATCCCAGGTAGTCTCGGTATCTTCAAAAGCATCCTTTGTTATATGTTCTCGGACTGAATTAATAATCTCATTGACTAATTCCCTAGCTTGATCTTCTAACAAACAAGATACATTCATTTGATCAGAATCAAAAAGGAGGCTCTCCTCACCAGGTGTAGGCGAAACACAGGCCTTTTCTTCCCCTGGGACTCCTGCCATGTTCCCCAAGTCCTGCTCTTCCAAATGCGCTGTCAGTTGGCTCCCCGGCAGTGGCGCCTTCACTGGGTTCTCCTCAGGCGTGCCTTCTGGCAGGGCGCCAGGATCCATGATGCCGTCTTTGGCCAGATGCTCCTGGTAGGTATCAACTGTGTATTTGGATTTCAGGTCTTCCCTAACAGAATCAAAGATCTCACCGATCAACGTGTCAGCCTTTTTCAGCAAACCGCTTCTGAGGGCCCCGAGCTGGTGCTCAGCAGAGGCTTCAGAACACTGCTGGCGGGAGCTGTTAACTGACGCCGGGGCCCCAGCAACTGCTCCCGCCTCTGCTTCCATGGGCCTGTCAAACGGGGCAGCAGTTGGGAAATCCAGAGATACCGTCCCAGTACGGTTACCCAAATGTCCCTGAAAGGAGGTCACTTCAGCCCCTGTTGGTACAGGTGCTTCCAATTCCAAATAAGAGCTATCAGGGTACAGTCGGTTAGTTAAGGCACCTTCATGTGTGGTATCTATAGCAACTTCTGCAGAACCAAAATTATCCAGGGGATTATGTGAACTTGTGACCATGCTGACTCCTTCGGCCTTACTAGAGGAAGGCATGCGGTCAAGCCCACCTTTCTTTCCCCGAGACGAGGCTTCCTTTTCAGATCTGAGCACAGAAGGAACACTGAGAACGCTTGCATCTTCAGGTGCAAAAGTGTTTTTTTCCAAAGTGATGTCAGAACCCAGAAAAGGTGAATTTACTTTTGTGCTGTCAGTTTCTTGGCATTTGGGGCAAGTATTAGTTAGGCTGAGTTCTGCTGTTTCTGAGAAACCTGAAATCTTTTCAGTCCCACAAATATCTGAAGGTTCATAACTCACATAAGTGTTGGCTTTTTCATCATGAATGGGAGGTAAAATCCCAGGTGTATTACTTCTGAGAGAAGCAGAAGCAGAAGCCAACACTTCTACCTCTGTTTCTTTTACACCTTGATATCTGGAGACAGAAGGAGAAACCTCCGCTTGGCAATTCTCTTTAAGTCCATCATCTGAATATTTTTCTTTAAGCTCATTATGATCCACCAATTGACAACTTTTGTCCTGTTCAGCCTCTGGAGAGGTTAACTCTGATAAGATAGGCGTTGCTGGCACATCTGTCATTTCAAATGGAGAAGAAATTTTATCCTGAGAAATGTCTCCAGGGTCTGTGTGGGAAACAGGTATCTCGGAGAGGGCTATAGTTTTTCCTCTTCCAGAATGTGACTCCACAGGAACACTATTCTGACCATTGACTTCAGCTTTTGAGAAAACTTTAGCAACGTTACTAGTTTTGGTGTCCAAGGAAAGAGAACCAGACTTCTCCATAGTGCTTTTGCTTGCTCCGCTGTTTGAGCGCATTAACTCTGCTTTAAGAGGGTCCTGAGAGGAAATGGAACTGTGACGCTCAAAGAGGCTTTCATCCTCCAATCTCGAGTCCACCCCCCTCAGGTGGGTGTCACTGGTTTCAGGGTCTAGTGGAACCTGGCACTTTTCACTATTAGGACGAACATCCTTGGATTCAAGAATCACAGATGTGTGCTCAGGGTGAAGGCAAGCTGGAGGACTCTTCCCGTCTGCAGTGTCAATGTGATTCGCCACATTTTCTTCTCGACACCCTCCAGGCTCACTGGAAACACCAACAATGTTGACATTCCCTGTTTCAATGAGCACAGAAGACCCCTCATTCTTCAAAACAGGTACATCCAACCCGCTCAGCATACTAATTCCAGGAACAATGGGGGGAGATGAAGCACTGGAATTTGATTTTTCACAGTCAAGGGGAAGAGTGGTTCTGGTATCAAGTGATACTTGAGCGTGCTGAGGACTCTCAGAATCGGGAAGAGAGTCTGAAATGTGATTTCTATGGAGTCTGAAGGACAGTTCAGGGGTTATTTTGTTTTCTAGGCAGGGTACACCTGGTGACTCACTGATGCATGTTACAGCAGCAGCAGGGTCCTTTTGATTGATTCTAAGACCATGAGGCATTTTGCCATGTGGCCCCAAATCAAGGTTTTTGGGTTCTGCTATAGACAACTGGTCAGTATCTTTGGGTAATGACTCAATTCCATCTTCTGCATTGTTTACGTGACTTGAAGCTGTGGGTTCACCCACTGAGATAGTTTCTGTTTCTTGCCTGATTTCTGTAACAGCTGAATTTTTCTGTGCATCTCGGGCAGACAACCTGTTTCCTTAGAGCAGCAGTGTGACTGGCAGCCTGCTCTGATGAGTTACCTACAGTTGGCGTGTCAGAACACCCACTCTCTGGAGACGGCAGGTCTTCATGCCTGATGGATTTATCTGGGCACGGAACATCTGTGCTTTCCTGGTGGGTACTGTCACTTCCATCAGATTTACTGCAAGACAAGTCAGCAAGAGCAGGGTGCTCAGGCTCGACATGCTCTTCCCTTTGCACCAGGCTCCCAGCACTCCCGATGGAGCTGTTTTCTTCTGTTGCAGTCTCTGGAGGAGTTCTCCTCTGAAAGCCTGGACGGCCGGGGACTGTGCCGCTGCAACTTCCTGTAAACAATGCGGAACACACTAGATTTCCATCCGTCTGAGAAACTAGCACACGACTTAAATGCTGCTGTGAGTCAGATTCTCCAACAGCAAAGCTGGAGTTAGTCACAGAAGAAGGGGATGGCCTACTTCCCTCAGGTCCCCCAGGGCCGTTTTTATTTAAAACATCCTTAGAAGAAGCAATCTTCAGCACGTCTGGGTTGTTTCTCAGATGGCTTTCTGTGTGGAGGCTTCCTCTGCTACAATCAGAGTCTTCTAATCGCTCTCCATGCGTATGTCCTTTCATAGCTATGTCTGTACTAGATGATGACAAAGATGACCGCCTCCCAGCCTCAATCTCATTTCCAGGGCCAGTATGTGTGCTCGTACTAGAGTCAGAACTTCCATTTTCTCTGTCCAAGGGATTCACAGTTTCGAACACAGTCTGTTGCTTCAAAAATTTCCTAATTTGTCTGGGGCCTCGATACGTTGCATATGTTACTGAAGGCCTCTCCGGTTTACCATCTGCTTGTCTGTGAATAAACAAAACAAAACACAAACAGCACGAGAGTATCAGAAACTATAATTAGAACACCTTAAGAGTAATCCCAGGAACTCCGGTGAAGTGTATCTCATAATAGGGAAGGCTTTTCACCTATCTATGTAGAGAAAAGCTATAAAACCAGCAGTTTGTTTTTTCAAATTACAGCAAAGCTTTGACAATAGAAATTCTCATTGTGGATATAAATCTTTTGAAAGTATAAAAATTAAAGAACTTTTTAAAGCATTTCAACCCAACAAAGAAACAGCTTCCTATATAAATGACATTGGAAGCATGAGTTAGTGTATAGAAAAGAATCTAAAAATTGTTACTCAACAGGTATATTTAAAGGCCATATGGATATTAAAAAGGAAATTTGCACAGTCAACTATACATACAATTACAAAGCTGTTTATTATTTTTAATTACATAAAGATAAAATCATTTACAATGCCTTTTGATGAGGATTTCTTTCAAATATACTTTAAAATATAGGTAATAACTTGTTTAAATTCTGTATTAATTGTGATTCACAGTGATAAAAAATATGTTTATGCGATAGCAATAGCATTATGCAGCACAGGCTATTTTATTAACTTGTCTAAATTAAATTATTAACCCTTTTTAATACACCTGATTATTAAAAAAACTATAAAAAAATTAGGGGCATTTTTATATGAGAAAGACAATGTAAAACCTTCAGTTAATTATTCTTTCTTAAAATAAATTAAAAATTTTATGTATGTAAAACTGAAGTCTCATAGGAATTTCAAAAGCATAGGCTCTTAATGTTAAATAATATTTTATATCTGAAATACTCTTATTTCAATAAAAATTAAATATATCCTTGCTTGCAATAAATTCATATCACAGAACCAAAGAGACAACTTTAATACTTAAAATGCAGATACTCAAATGATTAAAAAATAGCTTCTCCAGATATATTATTTACATAATACCTAAAATTGGTTATAAGCAGTCCTTACCCATACTGTCAAAATAAACTATTAACCAAAATGGTATTCAACTTTTATAATTCCTAAACAAATTTAAAATATTCAACAGGGAGGTACTAAAACTATAATTCCAAATCTGATTTCTAAGGCTGGGCTGGAAGAAGTTTGTTATCGCAGTCAAACTGGATGTCCAGTGGTCTTTTCCTTTCCTCTGAAGAATCACTTTTCCTAGCTCTGTGAAAAGGAGAGGTCCCAATGCTGCAATAGCTGTGGCGAATGGTGGAAATTTTTGGTACACCCCAGTGATCGTAGGTCCCGTAGCCAGTGTTTGCCCTTGAGGACTTGGAAACTTCTTACACAGTCTCCATCAGCTGTTCCTATTGTTATTAATTTCTATTATTAATTGTTATTAACTGTATGATTTGGGGGATGTTACATATTTTTCTGAGCCTTGTTTCCTTATTTTAAAAAAGAAATATACATTAAAACAAAGCAACAACAGCCAGGCCAGTGTGGCTTAGTGGCTGAGCATAGACCCAAGAACCAAAAGGTCACAGGTTTGATTTCTGGTCAGGGCACAGGCCTGGGTTGTTCCTATCTCTCTATCACTTTTCCTTCCTCTCTCTTTCTAAAAAATAAAGATAAAAATAAATCAACAAAACAAAACAATAACAAAAAGAATTGCCTTTCTGGCCAAGGTGGTTCTGGTGAATTGCCTTAAACAAGTAATCTGTTAACAAGGAAGCCTTTACCAACAAGAATTAAGAGGCACAGTATCCTCTTCCATTCTCTACTGTTCAGTACCAAAGAAGTAAACCTGGCTGTCGAGACGAAAATTCTGAAATGTTCCAAATTACAATTACAGAGCCGTGAAAGAGAGAAGAGTTAGCCTGTTAATAGCTGTGGACCAGTTCTGACAAAAGACTGCTCTTTCTGTACATCTGATGGAACTTCGGATTAAATTCCAGGTGGCTATTTCACAGATAATTTTAGTCAGCACCATCGATCCCCAGGAGCCTCCACTTCTTGCCTAAACGGGGGCTTGCCAGGCTGATGCCCACCACCAAGCCACAGGAGTGGGCTGCGCCCATCCCAGAGCTGCCTGCGGCACCTCCTCCCACCCCTTTCCTACAGCTAATGTACATTCTTTCAGATGGCGTGCATCTTTCTTCCCACTTCCCCGTGTTCGATGTGTAAAAGTGCTTACCAAGGACACATCCATCGGAGATGATGGATGTGTCCTTCCTACCTAGCCATGCTGCTGGTGCTTTAGGCTCCATGCCCCAAGACAGGTATTCTATTTTTTGCTAGCAATGGTCTAATAAACTGTTCTTCAAAAAAGACTTTCAACCATGGAAATTAATTTTTTGCTGGTTTGTTTAATGACCTATTAATCAAAACCAAAGAAGAAAAAGCACAAAGTTTCCATTCTACCCAATTCCCATAGAACAGGCTCAAAATCCCCACCACCTTTTAAATCACTTTGGAACCAAAATCACTTGGAGAGGTAGCCCACTGCTGGGTCTCACTCCCAGATGTGCTGAGTCAGTGGGCCTGGGTCAGATAATCTGCATTTCTAATGCTTCCCAGGAGCTGCTGCTGCTGATCTGGGGCCACATCCACAATAGCACTGCTTCAGACAATTCTTCATGAACAACGGACCCAATTCAACTTTTGTTGTTGTTGTTGCTATTGGACATTTGTTTCTAATTATACATTCTTATAAATAACGTTTCAGTAAACACATTTATTACTGGAGATAATCTACACGCTTTTTAAGGTTCTTGTTTTTTTCTGACATTTTTCATATATAATTTTCTTATTTGCCAATTTAATGTATCACTGGTATGATACTGCTTGGCATAACCGAGTTTGAAAATTGTAAGTAATCCACTTTACTGATCTTTCATTTCCTGCTTTCCATTGCTATCATGCTTTGAACATTGTTTCTCCCCAAGATGAAATTCACATTTAGCTACTTTTAGTTTTGTATGTTTTTAGCATGTTACTCCATTTTTATTGATTTTAACATAAAAATGAGACCACAAAGAACTAAACAGTCCTAAGTTATCACTTACTTCTGTATATAGAATTATTGATGAGCTCCTCAAATAATAAAAATAATTCTCAGGTAGAGGTTAAATTAAAGTAAATAAAACAGATCTCTCTCTCTCTCCCTCTATCTTCCTCTCTGAAATCAATAAAAATATATTAAAAAATAAAACAGATCCTTCTTAGGGTTTTTTTGGGTTGTTAATCCTCACCCGAGGGCATTTTCCCATTGATTTTTATTTTTTTTATTTATTTTTTAAAAAAAATATATTTTATTGATTTTGTACAGAGAAGAAGGGAGAGGTATAGAGAGTTAGAAACATCGATGAGAGAGATCGATCAGCTGCCTCCTGCATGCCCCCTACAGGGGACTGAGCCTGCAACTTGGGCAGCCCTTGACCAGAATCAAACCCGCAACCCTTCAGTCTGCAGGCTGATGCTCTATCCACTGAGCCAAACCAGTTCAGCCCATTGATTTTTAGAGAGAGTGAAAGGAGGTGGGTGGGGGGAAGAGAAACACTGATGGCAGAAACACATTGATTGGTTGCCTCCCACACATGCTCTGACTGGGGCCAGTGATGGAGCCTGCAACTGAGGAACGTGACCTTGACCAAAACTGAATTGGAGTCTCTTCAGTCCACAGGCTGATGCTCTATTCACTAAGCCAAACTGGCCAGGTCTTTTTATTAGTTTTAAAATATATATATATGTAATTTTATTGATTTCAGAAGGGAAGGGAGAGAGAAAAAGAGATAGAAACACCCATGATGAGAGAGAATCATTAATCAGCTGCCTCCTGCATGCCCCCTACAGGGGACTGAGCCTGCAACCCAGGCAGCCCTTGACCAGAATCAAACCCGCAACCCTTCAGTCTGCAGGCTGATGCTCTATCCACTGAGCCAAACTGGCTAGGACTCCTTATTAGTTTTGAATGAATATTTTTGCTACACAAAATATCTAATGGACTCAACATTGTTATAAATATTTTGGGGGGTAGAAAATATTCCTTCTATTGCAAATAGAAGCAGCTACTATAGAAAGCAATATGGAAGTTCCTAAAAAAATTAAAAATAGAACTACCATATGACCTAGCTATCCCACTTCTGAGTACTTATCCAAAGGAATCCAAAACACTAATGTGAAAAGATATATGCATCCCTATGTTCATGGCATCATTATTTACAACAGCCAACATATGGAAGCAACCTAAGTGACCACTGATAGACAACTGGGTAAGGAAGTGGTACATATATACAATGGAATTTTTTTTTTAAAATTTTTTTTAGAGAGAGGAAGGGAGAGGGAGAGAAAGAAAAACATCGATTGGTTGCCTCCCAAACATGCCCTGACAGGGGATCAAATACATAACCTGGGTAAGTGTCCTGATAGGGGATTGAACCCTCCACCTTTTGGTTTACAGAACAATACCCCAACCAACTGAGCCACACTGGCCAGGCATATATAATGGAATACTACTCTTCCATAAAAAAAAAATGAAATCTTACCATTTGCAGCAACATGAATAGATCTACAGGGTATTATGCTAAGTGAAGCAAATCAGAGAAAGACAAATACCATATGATCTCACTTATATGTGGAATCCAAAAAACAAAATAAAGAAAACAGAAACACTCACAGATACAGAATAAACTGATGATTGCCAGATGGGTGGGGGATTGGGAGGGAAGGGCAAGATAAAGGAATTAAGAAGTACAAATTGGTAGTTACAAAATAGTTCCAGGGATGTAAAGTACAGTATAGGGAATATAGTCAGTATTATTGTAATAATTATGTATGGTGTCAGGTGGGTACTAGACTTATTGGGGGGTATCACTTCATCTATAATAAAAGCATAATATGCTAATTAGACCGGACATCCTTGTGGGCAACCTTCCAAATGAAGCCGGGGCTGCGAGGGAAGCCTGGGTCCCAGTGCCTGCTGGTGGCCGAAGGGAAGCCTGGGTTCCAGGTGCCGGAGGGAAGCCGGTACTGGCAGCCAGGGAAGGAAAGTCGACTCTTTCACAAATTTCGTGCATCAGACCTCTAGGAAATGATATATATGTCTAACCACCATGCTGTATACCTGAAACTAATATAATATTGGATATCAACTGTAATTAAAAAATAAAGAAAATATTCCTTCTAGCTCATCTGTACCAGGAAAAACAAATTAGTGACTTTGTTAATCAAGCAAAGAACATAGGGGTGGCGAAATGCTCCTTGAATCTGTGTGAGATTCCAGTTTCTCGGAGTTGTGGAAAAGGTTCATAAGGTTAGTTTTAGGGATAGGGCCCATTCAATTTCTTCTCTGAACCCCTAAAATTATACTCCACAAAGAAAAGATACTGACAGAATATGAATACAAACCTTAGGACCATATTTGTTCCCCAAAGAAGACACTGAACACAGGGCCTGCTCTAATACAGGAAAAATTCAGACAACAGAAAACACTCATATTCAAGAAATCTTACATTAGAAGTAAACCTTGTATGATAACAAAGTTAGCACCTACCTAAAAGGTATTAGTATCATCCCCTAAAATAGCTCAAAAGGCCCTAGATTACATGTATAGTCCACAGAATCACAGAACTTTTTTTACCTACTACTAGGAACATTACAGGATACTTTTTCCAATCTCTTTAAATGAAAGTAGAGCTGCCCTGACTGGTTTGGCTCAGTGGATAGAGCGTCGGCCTGCGGACCGAAAGGTTCCAGGTTTGATTCCAGTCAAGGGCACGTACCTTGGTTGCGGGCACATCCCCAGTAGGAGGTGTGCAGGAGGCAGCTGATCGATGTTTCTCTCTCATCAATGTTTCTAACTCTCTATCCCTCTACCTTCCTCTCTGTAAAAAATCAATAAAATATATTTAAAATAAAAAGAAAAGAAAAGAAAGTAGAGCTAAGGATCAAAAGCTAGATCCAAAAGCTTAGATTTTGGCTCAAGTAAAACTTAAACTTACTTTATGAAGTCACTGGTTTCCTGTTCGCTGTCTTGTGTGGTATCCAAAGAAAAGGCATCTGAGGGTGCAGCCGAGCTGGACTCCTGCTCTCCTGCCGGCAGGGCCTGGGTTCCCGGGGAGCCCCTGCACATCTCCCTCTCCTCCCTGACCCCTTCCTCCTGCTGCTCCCTGGGACTTCGGAAGTCCTTCTCAGTTCTGTCATGGTCATCTTTCAGAGAGGACTGCTTGGCCTCAGCAAGAGATGCTTTTCCAGAGATATTGAATAAGTTACCAAGAAACTGAAAAAAGCTTTCTTTTGGCTGTCGATCGCTTTCTCCTGTTTTGCCATCTGAAGTAGGACTGGGAAGGTCGTTGGGCTTTTTGGAATCTCCTGGCACTGGAAGAGCGATTGGCTTCTCAGCATGGTTCCTTCTGTGCTCACTTTGGGGAATCTTTGAAAACAAAACAGAATAACAAGCATCATCACTAAAAAGTAACTCAGGCTGACTGATAACCTAGTACAGGATACATTCTGCGTTAGACCCAGGGACGTGTTTATGAATAAGACTGGTGGCTTCTGTTTCCTTGGGAAGTTTACAACCTGCTGAAGAGCACAGTCAGCACAACTCTAACAAAGCTACATAGTCAATGTCATGAAGAGAGAGGTACAGCACACCTGGGGAACCCAGCCCAGATCTGGTGGCAGTGAGGGCAGAGGAGGTAACTCAGGGATGCTTCCCGGAGGAGGTGACCCCTGTAGGAGACCGACAAAGTGACTTTGTGATGCTTGTGCATCTTCTTCCCTCTCCTCTTCCTCCCCTTCTTTGTGTTTAATATGACTGGAGGTCAGGGTACAAAAAGAGAAGCGTGAGGGATTAAGTATGGGGAGATAAGTAAAGGAACAGATTTTGGCAAAATTTATGTGTATTTAAATATAGCCGTTCTTATTACAAAGCTAATGGACACTACTTTCAAACACTTGGTATATTAGACAAATAACACCCAAATAGACCTCATCACTTCAGCATTGCGTTAACCCACAAGCTTCCACATTATGTAAAGGTTTTCCTTAAGAAGAGGAGGAAAGACAGCAACATGGTACATCAATTCAGAGGAAAGCTCTTCATGGTACAACACAAAGTTCTGAAATGCACATTAATGCAAACCATGGACAACACAGGGATTCCTACAGAGTTAAATACTTTCAGAAGTGCATTTTACCTGCCCATAACTAGGTACTAGTAAAACAAACTCATTCATGCATACTCTGTGTCAGGAAAGATTAAACTGCTATATCAAAGAGCAGGCTGGCGTGGCATCGCACACTCTTCCCCAAAGTTCATTAGCTTTAGGCCAGTATACCAAGTCACCCTGCCTTCCAAACATGCTCACATCTACTTGTAAAAGGAATGTGCACCCGACAGTATCTGTCAGATGTTATGCTCGCTGGTGCTTATAAAAGGAAAGCTCAAGTGTGACTCAGAAAAAATCAGGACACCAAAGGCAAAACCACCTTGGGGCACTGCAGGTTCACATGACAAAGTATTGTAAGGAGTTGATCTTCAAGAAGGCAACAGCCTCGTAATCATAATGTTATTTGCTCATCTCATTCCCTGTTTTAATCCAAATTCGAAAATAGTTTAAAGGAGTATTCCACTAACCACTAATAAAACTTAGCCTATGAAAGGCTGAGAAATGTATAGAACCCATTAGACCAGGAAGTTAATTTTGAGCAAACAATATTTTAAGTTTGTTCCCACCCTGGGTGTCAGGATATTTTTGAGTAAATACATAGCATTTTTCCCTGTGTGAGGACCTTAACATACTGTGTGAGTCTCTACATTTAGAATATCACCAGCCTTCTGAGGTCACTATAAGTCTCACCTTTTACTAGTTTCAACCGGAACTTGGTCCCACTGCACTCTATCTCATCCAGCCAACCTTCTGTCATTATGGGAGCCCACACTATAAACTAGCTGTGCCCTCCCTTCACATAAACTGCATAAACAGCCTCTCTGTGTGGCAGGGCAAGATACGCTAGGTCCCTGGTCGGCAAACTGCGGCTCGCGAGCCACATGCGGCTCTTTGGCCCCTTGAGTGTGGCTCTTCCACAAAATACCACATGCGGGTGCGCACATACAGTATGATTGAAACTTCATGGCCCATGCACAGAAGTCGGTATTTTGTGGATGAGCCACACTCAAGGGGCCAAAGAGCAACATGTGGCTCGCGAACCGCAGTTTGCTGAGCCGCAGTTTGCCGACCACTGCGCTAGGTGATATTGGAAAATGCTCATGTGTGTGTAAGATACATATTTTTTGTCCTTTATTCCCTTTAATTCCAACCATAATATTTCCCCCTGAGCCAAATGAACGGACACTATAACAGGAATAGAACCGTGATTTTTTGTTATAATTAGTGTGAATGACTGCTCATGCTGGGTAGCTACTCATTACATCATAAATACAGGGTAGGGCAAAGATAGGCTTACAGTTGTTCATGTGGGAAATAATACAATCCTATATAATAAAGATGTGATATGCAAATAGTCGTGACAACGTGAAGTGTAACGACCGACCATGTAACCACTGGATCATGGATCAGCAGGAGGGTGGGGCAGCGAGCTGCAAGTGGGCAGCGGAGAGCTACAGGAGGGGGCAGGGCAGCAAGCTATGGGGGGTGGTGGTGGAGGGAGCTACAGGAGAGTGGGGCAGTGGGCAGAGAGCTACTGGAGGGCGGTGGCGAGCTACTGGCGCACGGATTCGTGCGCAGGGCTACTAGTAATTAGTAAATAATAGTACAAGAACAATCTGTGTTTTGTGCACTCACAACTGTAAACGTACTTTTGCCCAACCCTATATTCTTAAAAAGCTTTAGAGATTCACAAAGCCTTCTAAAATTGGGGCAATGGTTTTAAAAAGGGAGAATTAAGAGAACAGGAAGAGTACATTTTTTAAATCTCAAGACAAATAATTATTGTCAAAAAGAGTATTTATTTCACTGCCTAAATTATTTTCACTTGGCAATTCCTTTCACAGTATAACAGACTAGTTTCTAAACTGCGATAGAGAAATCACTGGTTTCTCTTTCCCCTAAACTTTTAGCTTCTTTGCTTTTCCAGAATTCCTATATCTTAAGTTTACTAGAGAGGACTTTTTTCCAGTTCCCTAAAATGTCTTAGTTGCTTAGTCTTCCCCTAATGATCTTATGAGAAATTTTTAACAACAACTAAAATCCCCTCAACCAGAAAGTATCTAAATTTAGAAACAAAAACTAGCAGAAAAGAGTACTGTTGTTCCAAGTAAACACAATGCATTATTTATGTAATTAAAAATTTTAAGTCTGATCTGAAACAGCTGCTCGCTGCCCTCGGCTTAGACAACAATGAAGTTCAGCCTGCCACAGCCAGGGCCAGCGTCGCCTGCCAGCAGGGCTGCCTGCCATTGTTCCAAAGAGTGAGTGGAATACAAGCACTTGGGGTTCAAGCAAACACCAGTGGAACACCGGTTCCAATTGTTCTCAACGATGTCGGTAATCTGCAAATAAAATAGAAAGGCTACCGATGAAGGCATATGTATCTTAGGAATTAAAAAATTTTTTCCTTCATATTCCATATATTGTAAAGTAGTGCCTTAGGTCCAAATTCATCTGTTCTCATTGCCTTGTGCCCAAGGCAAGGAAACATAGGAAAACATTAGGTACACTGATTAATAAGACAGCTGCGGCTCACAAGTTTACGGTCTAGTAAGATACACATCATCACATCTTGGTGTGGGACTCACGAGAGGTATGTACACATGGCAGACACAATAGCTGAACTGGGGATGGGGAGAACACACTGCATAAAAGCGTAGCACCTGAGCTTGCTCCTGAAGGCCAAAAGAGCATTCAAGACACAAAGTATAGCATGTACGGTACAAAGGTACAGAAGTGTGAGGTTTGTTTATTATGGCCGGATGTGGCTGGAGAAGATTGGGGCACAGAGGATAGAGACTGAGGCTGATAAGATGACCAATTAAAAGTGACGGCTGAGAGATAACAATCACAGATGATTAAGTTTTCTAAACTGAGCAACTATTTGAGTAGTTAAGCCAAAAAGGAATAAGAGGAATATGAGGGGAGGTGCCTTTGTGTGTGTGTGTGGGGGGGGGAGAGACGGGGAGGGGGGTTGTTTACAAACTATTTAGATGTGAAATGTTGAATTTTTGGTCCCTTGGTGATGTGCAAGTTGAGCTATCTGGTAAGCAGTCAGAACACAGTTTAAGAATGCAATTGGCAATACAGCAGGGTAAAGGGGGACCAACCAAAGAACCTTAGGGAAACAAGATTAAAGGCAGGCACAAAGAAGAGAAGAAATCCGTGAGAGAGACGGAGGAGGCCAAAAGTGGGCCAGGTCATCCCCTCCAGAATACTGGTCTCCAAAGGCATAAGGACAAAGATTATTTCCAAAAGCAAAGAGGAGTACATGCCAAATGCCACCGTGAGGTCAACAAAGTCCTCACTCTCCTGGTCACTGGTCTTTAAAAATGTCAGGTACACTCCCGATTGAGCATTTACTCTTCTCTCTGTTTAGAATGTTCTTCCCCCAGATACCAATGTTTTTCACTCCTCCTCACCTTCTTCAGACCTTTACTTATCTCATTGCAAGTTTCTCCAGCCACCCTGCTTAAAAGAATAAACCCCTCTGCTCTGAAACTGCCCATCTCTGTTCTCTGCTTTATTTTTCTTATTTTTTCTTGCCAGTATCAAATACACATACATATTATTTAATACCTGTGTCTTCCTCTAGTATATAAAAGCCACAAGGGCAAGGAATTTTGTCTGTTTCAGTCATGCACTATCTCTAATACCTTGAAATGTACCTGACAGTAAGAGCCAAAAATGCTCAAATATTTGTTAGATTACTAAGTGAAGGAAAGAAGAGTATAGAGAAGCCCTGGAATGCAGGAGAAATAGTCCTAACAGCTCAGGAATTTGTGAGCACAGCCCCAAACTCCGGGTGGTAAGCAGTAAGTAGCAAGGAAACAGGAACAGCCCACAAATGGAAGGAACACTTTTGAGAGATTTTTTAACCAGAAAAAATGAAAGACATAAGATGACGGTTTAAGATCCAAGACACACAAAAAATGGCTTTTTGTTCCTGTTTTGTGGATCCGTTCTATACCTGTTGGAGGAAGTGACTACTGTGTAAGAAAGAAGGACGACAGGTTCGAGAAAGAAAAGCAGAGGTAATGAGATAGACGACTATAGTCTCTAACACTTTTTTCAGTACTATATATATTTTAATTAAATTTATTGGGGTGACATTGGTTAGTAAAATTATAGGTTTCAAGTGTACATAGAAAACTATGTGATACATAGCCTAAATATTACATTGTGCATCTAATACTTATAATAAAGGGAAAGTATTAGCCTTGAAGAAGAATAGGAACATTTCCTCTTCCAAGTAAAG